TTTTGAAACAAATATTGAACTTAACACATTTCCACATCATGGTCACAGATTCACAACAAAATGGATTGGGAATACATTCCAAATCACAAATTCATAACACATTACAAAAGCAAAACCCCAACACATTCCAGTCAGGTCATAAGCAGGACACACTGCTAGGCAGTAAGCCACAGATTCATAACAACATTGGTCACATTCCCACATCACATTCCAGTTAGGTCACAGGAAAGACACATTGTTAGGTAGTAAGCCACAGATTCATAATAACATTGGTCACATTTCGCACATCATGGTCACATTATTCAATAAGTTAAAAAGGAAGAATCAAGTGGAAATTACAAACGAGATTCAATTCAAAAACCCTAACTCATTCCAATCACGTATACAATCGAATAGGGTAATAATCACATTTCTCCAATTGATCTTCAATACATATTACTCAACCATTTTTGTACACATGCGCACGCACACACACACAGATATATATATATATATATATATATATATATCACTTAGATTAAAAAAAAAATGGGGGACGAAATAACCTTCTTCGATAACCCTCTACGCATGGTCACTGTATGCTTTTTCAATGGAGTTTTTTTGGGGCTCCCCTTATCCTTCCTCTTGCGACTTCTTTGTGACGAGCCTTCGACATTAATCGTCCTTTCTACCCCCTTCGATATCACCATTTTACGTCGCCAACAGAAGCTCCAGTTGCGTGAATATGTCTATTAGAGACTAGAATGTGCTATATAATGAATATAACGATTTTAGTAATACAAAAACTAGAAGAAAATGTAGTAAAAATAGTCGAAAATGTAGTAAAAATGACCTGAGTGGGAATGAAGTAATCGGAGATTATGGGTGTAGTGGAGGAAAAATGAGAAAGAAAACGTTTTGAAAATATTGGAAAATTGAATTCAGATATCAGAACGCGCCATTATTAAAATAATTACTATTTTATTATTAATATTAATTATTAAATATTAAAATAATATTTAATTAAGAAAATGTGATACCTAAAGAATGCTTAAAAAGCCTTCCTGACTGAAATTTGCATTGTATACTTCAGAGCCCTGTTCCATGTAATTTCCACAAGAGATATTATTGAGGAGACTTTGTAACTTCTTAGTTAAAAAACAAAATGTTAGGTTAAGAGATATTATTAATTTAAATTTACTTAGAGTACTCTGCTTTTTACCTAACTTTTCAACGTGTCAATGTCCTTCGTTAACTCCAAGGAGATTTAGGTACTTTTGTGGTCATCAAACTGCAAATAATAAAGTGCTTTGAAAGAAAAATAAATCCAAGGACCAAAATAAGAATGTCTCTAACAATAGATGACTTCATTGTGCAAAATTAGATTCTCTCGATCTTTAAGATAATCTGCAAACGTGTTATCGATCCACTCTCCTTCTTCGTCTCCACTTCTGAACTGAACTCAACTGGTATGTACTCTCTCACACAGCAAAGCTAAAAACACACACTATGTTTATTTTTTTGATCCTGTGGAATGGATGCACGGATATATAGGATTATTCCATAAATATATTTCATGAATGCATATACTACATATAATGCCTGAAGTAGCACCAATGGAACTAGAATACATCTAAGGTTCTGTGTCTAATTTAAATGTTTATTATAAATGCACAAAGACACAGAGGCTGTATGTGTGCCAGTTGCAGTGTGTGATTGTCAAAATTTGTCAACACTCTTGAATAAAGCTTTTGGGATTGCCGAAGGATACCTGCGGAAAGGGGATGGAATTACCTCGTTGAATTAAGTTAGGAGATGATCATATTAAAAATTATAATGAATGTGTAAGGCTAACACGTAATTAATAGCATTTATCTTCGGATTTGGAAAAGCACTGAGATGGTGGATTCACCACTTCCAAGGAGTAGAGTGCGTTGATCTTTGTTGGGCAGTGTTTTTGCGTGCTTATAAGTTGTGGGCTTATGGAATGTGTAGATAATAGGTTAAGAGTAAGTTGTGGATCATATGAACTGTGTTGATAAAAGGTCTGTTTGATCAATTTAAAAATAAAAAATAAAAATCGATCTTTATCAAACATGCACTTAGTTCTTGTTAGTCTAGACCTTGCTGTTGATGTTAAGTGAATTGCTTGAATCCTGTCTACATGGACTGACTCTTGTTTGCCTATGGGTAGCTCCTTTGTGTAAGGATCTATGAATATCTCATTAGGTCATATAGTTTGTCCCCAAACCCCTTGAGGGCCTCTTTCTTGCCTGGGGATCCCAAAAGATCTTGCCAGGTCTTTATTTTCGTGTGGTCCTTTTGAGGGTTTTCTTTAGGTCTTTGTTTGCTTGTGAACCTCTGGAATTTGAGTTCTATTTAATCTGATGTTTGGAACCTATTTCTTTATAAGTAAATTCAATATTTGAACACATAATCATGCCCATTACAAACACCAGAATCCCTATGAAGTAGAGAATGATTTCTTGTTAACAATTGAGTAGGACTTGTCGAGATGCATTTAAACTATATGTTACTCTAGTGTCAATCAAGTGTCATACTTCAACTTTTTTTTGATCGGGTAACTACAGTTCAATTCAATTTCAGTGAGATAACTCCATCCAATTCTGTAACCTAGACAGATGCAAATAGATGAACTGGTAGTCAATAAATGAAGCCCATCATATTGCACATATTTCACGTCATTTACTGTCGCATAATCGATTTCTGTCAATGGAATTGGACAAGCTTGTCTTAACATTGAAATTAAATTAAACTATAGTTGCCGATTGAAATGCTACCTGATTGAAATCTTATCAGAGAAAAGGTAACCATTTAAAAAAAATAAAAAATAAAAAAATGATGTAAAATTACTTGATTGACACTAGAGTAAAATACAGTTACCACGAATGTAATTAATCCCATTTAAATAAACTTAGTCTATTTCAGTTTCTTTGTGGTAAAGT